CCCATGCCCCCTTCCATGTCACACCCACACACCCAGCCATGTCACACCCACACACCCGGCCATGTCACACCCACACACCCGGCCATGTCACACCCACACCCCCTGCCATGGCACACCCACACACCCTGCCATTCCACACCAGCACACCCTGCCATGTCACACTCCCACCCCCTGCTATCCCACCCCCCCCCCCCCTCCCATGCCACCCCCCCCCCCCCTGCCATGTCCCCCCCCCCCCCCCTGCTATCCCACCCCCCCCCCCCCTCCCATGCCCCCCCCATGCCCCCTGCCATTTCGACCCCACACCCCCTGCCATCCCCCCCCCCCCCCCCCCCCCGCCCATGCCACCCCCCCCCCCCCTGCCATGTCACCCCCCCCCCCCCTGCCATCCCCCCCCCCCCCCCCCCCCCCACCCCCCCCCCCCCCCCCCTCCCATGCCACCCCCCCCCCCCCTGCCATGTCACACTCACACACCCTGCTATACCACACCCTGCTATGTCACCCCCCCATTCCCTGCCATCCCACACCCACTCACCCTGCCATGTCACACCCACCCTCCCTGCCATACAACACCCACATACCCTGCCATGTCCCACCCACACCCCCTGCCATACCACCCCCTGCTATGTCACCCCCCCATTCCCTGCCATCCCCCCCCCCCACCCCCTGCCATCCCCCCCCCCCCCCCCCCCCCTGCCATGCCCCACCCATGCCCCCTGCCATGTCACCCCCACCCCCCCGGCCATGTCAACATCCCCTGCCATGTCACCCCCCCCCCCCCTGCCATGTCCCCCCCCCCCCCCCTGCCATGTCCCCCCCCCCCCCCCTGCCATCCCCCCCCCCCCCCCCCCCCCCCTGCCATGCCACACCCACCCCCCCTGCCATGTCACCCCCCCCCCCCCTGCCATCCCCCCCCCCCCCCCCCCCCCCTGCCATCCCCCCCCCCCCCCCCCCCCCCACCCCCCCCCCCCACCCCCTGCCATACAACCCCCCCCCCCCCTGCCAAGCCATATGCCAATCCCCTGCCATGTCACCCCCCCCCCCCCTGCCATGTCCCACCCACCCCCCCTGCCATGCCACCCCCCCCCCCCCTGCCATGTCCCCCCCCCCCCCCCTGCCATGTCCCACCCACACACCCTGCCATACCACACCACATACCCTGCCCTGTCACACCCACACACCCTGCCATACAACACCCACACACCCTGCCATACCATATGCCAATACCCTGCCATGTCACACCCACACACCCTGCCATGTCACACCCACACACCCTTCCATGTCACATCCCCAATGTTTGAGTGTTAAAGTCCCCATTTTCAATTAGTTTTTTTATAAATTTTTTTGCAATTCTGTTTAATCAAACAGGGTGGGTTAAGAGTAGGAGATGCTTCCCTACCTGTACTTCATGTTACTTTAGCCACCATGATGAAACACACACAGATTCTAGATGTAATTTCACCTTACCCTGGATAGGTATACCCACCCCCTTCCCACTGCAGAATAGCCTTGTTTCACCCCAGCCACAATTGTATGACATTACCACAATGTCAAATATAATAAACATGTAGTTAAAATGGTAAGAAAAAAAGAAACATCTCCCTCCCTTTTTGGAATGATATTGGGATCTTAAAAACCAGGGGACGGTTCTAATGTTGCCTATTTATTTGAAAGCCTCATGTTTGACAACTTCACCATTTTCCCTGGTTGGGATCTCCCAACTCACCTGTGAGGTGTTGACTCTACTATTTTCAAACTGTCAATCAAGTTATCACAATTTGATTCCTTAGCTCACTGAGTCTATTGAACAGAATTGCATGTAATCTTATTTAGTGTGATCAAGAGTTGCTGAACATTCTAAATACTAATCAGCAGAGATAGTATAATAAGCAGAAATATCTGTCATTGAATTCAATAGAAAGCAGAGATAATATAATAAGCAGAAATATCTGTCATTGAATTCAATAGAAAACAGAGATAATATAATAAGCAGAAATATCTGTCATTGAATTCAATAGAATGTTACTTATAACAAATGTTTGGGTTCCTGCCCACAATTTCTATTCTGTGGAATTTGTGAAAAGGTCTTTCTTTTTAATTGGAGGCTGTTCAAAGTTAGGGTCTATTATTGAGTTGGATATTCCTAACAGATATAAACAATTCTCTCAGATTGCAGAGGTCAAACTTTCGCTCTCCTGTAAAGAGGTTTATCTGTCGCTAATTGATGTTTTGTCATTATGATTGATCACAAGGGAAATTGATCCTCAAAGGTATCACGGCAGTGTGAATAGTTAATGTAGTAAGAGTAGCAAATAAAATCAAGATTCCGCAGATGAAGACATTTATGATAACATTTTATCCAGTGAAGCAGAAGTACAAAGTAAGTTAAAGGCAGTGAAGCTATTATCAGATCTACGGTGAATGTCCACGTCACTTTGTATTTCAGTTTTAATAAAATCAATTCTTTATCAAAGTTTTTATTGATTCATCACATTTTTAATTAATCCCACAGCATAGATTTGATCACTGAACAACGATTTCTTTCAAATCCAACAACAAACGCTGTATTAACTAAGTCAATAGACTTCTGACAAAATCATCCAACATGTAATTATCTACAAACATACAAACTACAAACATACAAACTACAAACATACAAACATACAAACATACAAACTACAAACATACAAACTACAAACATACAAACTACAAACATACAAACTACAAACATACAAACTACAAACATACAAACTACAAACATACAAACTACAAACATACAAACTACAAACATACAAACTACAAACATACAAACTACAAACATACAAACTACAAACATACAAACTACAAACATACAAACTACAAACATACAAACTACAAACATACAAACTACATACAAACTACAAACTACAAACATACAAACTACAAACATACAAACTACAAACATACAAACTACAAACATACAAACTACAAACATACAAACTACAAACATACAAACATACAAACTACAAACATACAAACTACAAACATACAAACTACAAACATACAAACTACAAACTACAAACTACAAACATACAAACTACAAACATACAAACTACAAAAAAAAACATTAAAATGTTCTTCAATGAAAATTACAATCATGCAAATTTGCTGGTTGACAAACATTTTAAGTCTCAAATTAATTACACAGAGAAAATCAATTTATAGAAATTGAGTATTTCATTTATATATGAGCATCATTATAATAAACCACAGCCCTTCAATTTTCAACTGCCTTTTTAAGAATTCTTACCTTTCCATTTTGATCTGACTTGATCAGAGTGATCTGCTGTCAAATTGTTTTTGTAGATTCAACCACACACACAACAAAATCAGAAATAAATCCCAAACTGTCTGAGAATTCTCCTCCACATCACGTCCATCACACGCTAGGTACTAGTTACTTCATGTACTCCTCTGCATAATAATTTCCAGGAGAATTAAAATCCTGCACTCATGAAATATCCAATTCCATGTTAATCCGGAGCATCCTCATAAACACCACAGAAATATCATCAATGCTAAGACAAGTGTAGCCCGTTCAGCAAATATACCATACATAGAATTTGGAAGATTCACCAAAAGTATTTTTCCATTTATCTGCCTGACAGATCACTTGTAATAAAGATCACTAACTCTGGGCCTGAACATTCAACAGACAGACGTCCCCCATACAAATCAACATATATACAGTACACTGGAATTGTCCAAGGTAATTCTCATAATATCTCTTAAAATAATTCATTTCAAACCACTGAAAATGTATTTGTGGACAGCCTATGACATGGACTTGAATAATTATATCTTTAAGATTAATTACAATTCCTCTTAAAGCGTAGACAAAATGTCCACGAGATGAAAATTATGAACCTAAATTGTACTTTTATGCTGAAGTCCTCATAATCATGAGATATTCATCCCTATAACCAATTTCAGACAGTGTCTGTCACCAGGAGCTAAACCTCCGTACCACCAAAACACAATGTCCCCAGCCACCCAGCTGTCTCCTTGTACCCTGTCCTCCTCTACCATCTATTCGGGAATTTTACACAAATCCATAATCATAACCAATTTTCTGACCTCATGAAAAATATAAAATCTCCGAAACCAGCAATTACTCAAAATGGTATCCGCATGAATTGTAATAATGATCAGAAAATGTTCATTTTAGATGGCTGTCATGTAGCCTTACACCTGATTTATAATAAAACCTATACCTGTTTACCTGTCAGAATTAGCTCTGTAATTCCTAACAATGATAAGATGTACTGTTAATTAGCCGAGCAGTACACGAATATTAACATCAAGTCAGACACGCGACAACACTTTCCTCCCACCCCGTGTGTTAACGTCGTCCGACCTTCATTAACAAAATATATAGTGAAGGTAAATTATATAGATATATGTTTAATGAAGGAGTGTACCAAAACCAGAGTTTGTTCAACTTATGCACATTTATGCTTATATCAGCCTCGACTGCCGCTTCTAATGTATACAAGTACCCAGCCAGGAGCCAGTGCTAGCTTTCAAGAAGAAATGTTAAGCTTTTTTATTGCATTCTCAGTAATGTTATTTTATGAAAAGTTATGAGTTTGGAGCTTAGCATTTTTGGTTCTGGCCAAACAGCATCAGGGATGATTACCATTCCTACTCCAGAGAAAATTTATAAACATGGTTTCAGGAATCGTGAATGGGTGAGGGAGATTTAGGCCTCACCAAGATAATCAACTTCTCATATTATTAACATAGATTTGTTAATGAGTATACTCATTATTATCATTCTTGCACCTGAATAACTGATGGACAACAGCTGGTTTACACCTGGAGAGCTGGCACAGGGCGGATCTGATGTGGTACCGTACACACAGGGGGCACTCCTCTCTCAACAAACATGGCAGTGGCACAGAGCTGTTGCAGAATACGGTTACAACACAGTAACAACCAAAAAAGGAGTTAAAACGTACCTGTTTAATGATGGCAGTCTGTGCCAGTTTGGCCGCGTCTGGTTTCGGCTCTCCATTTAAAGATTCCGTGGTAGTCCCATCGTTAGAATCACCATCCATATTTGGTAGGACAGGGTACTACTCTTGTTAGTCGTTGGGCGAACAGCGCAGATTTTTTCCGGACTTGAGGCGGCATGAACCTGTCGCTTGTAGGCTGCGAAGGAAAAAGCAGAGAAGATGAGCCCGAGTAAAAGCACAGCTTTGGGTTTGTTGGGTGGACGGGAGCACCAGAATGGTAACACAAAGAATACCTCACAATTTCCCATCTCTGACTATGTCACTCTCCTCAATAACAAGATGCTACAACTTTTTTTTATTTTCACTCATAATAAATCGCCAAAGATATGTGTAAGATATGACTAATTATTAATTGTATGCTTGCCAATATATGCTTGATTGTGTGTGCACGCCGTGTACTGATTATTATAATATTTTTAGAGTCGGTACCTGATGGAATCATAAATATCCAATGTGCTCTGCCTCAAGTGAAAAGACTCGCTGAATAAATGTGTGCTTATGTGTGTGTGTGTGTGCTGGGCCGAGAGTAAGCAGGACCAGCTTCAATTCTGTGGTAGGCTTGTCCAATAACATTACCATAGAATTATAGTCAGTTCCAGAAAAATGCAAAAACACATTTCTTAGGTTTTTAGTAGCTCTACAGAAATTCACATTCTCTTATGATCGCTTAAACTGATTAAACATTGGGGCACTAACCATGGAAATAAAGTCTGTTTCATTTTGAGGCTTGAAACAAGCAATTGTATTAGTTTTTAATTTATACAAATACATACATCTTCATAACAAATGGAGAAAATAAATAATGCAGAATGAAATCTTTTATTCTGGAAAAATTAGCATTTCAATTGTGGTTGCTGATCATCATAATTTCTAATTCATGTGCATTAATGCTTCAACAGGTGGGACAATATCAATTGGATATGTGATGAGGATCTGATAACTTATTTACGAGGATGTCGGTGATGTCATTGAACACGGCTATAGGAAATTCCTGTTGATGATACTGTGCAGGGATGTATGTCAGCTGTTGAAATTAAAGGCACCAATCAGGGGTTACAACTGCACTACTGGTTGTATTTAAGCGTCAGGAGATTAAACAATAGAGGAATCCTCATGTTTTTTGTTTATTTGTTTGGGGTTTAACGTCCTCGCAGAATAACAATGGTAACATTGACCATTGTAGGGACACAAGATAACACAACCAGGGGATCATCATGGTAACGTTACAGACCATTGTAGGGACACAAGATTACACAACCAGGGGATCATCATGGTAACGTTACAGACCATTGTAGGGACA